TAGCTCTGTTATGGTCTTTACCACCAACTCCAAAGGGAAATCTTCTACGCTTTGTTGCTTAAGTCGCCACCTTGCTCATCAGCTAATTGTCCAACTGCCATGTTGGTATTTGTTGCTGGGCAGTGGCTATGCAGAGTGTTTAGAGCTTTTTCGCCACTCAGTTTTTTTTTTTTTTATCTGTAACATAGTCAAGCTGAAGAACAATAAGAGCACTAAGTAAACCAATCTTATTTTTGTGACAATCTTACAACATCACATACAGAAAACTGGTAAAAAAAAAAGGAAATCAAAAGACCTAGTTACACAATTTAATCTTAACCAGGTCTCCAAAGTAGTTTTACGTCTGTGATGACGGCACAAAATATGTAAAACAAAACCATATTTTGGCTTTTGGTGGTTGCTATGTTAACCTGCATGAATGTCGCTATCAGAAACCTGAGTAGAGAGGTCTGCAGGTGGCATAGGGGCAGGAGACCTCACTTATCCATCTCTCTTGCATTTGCCAAGTGAGCAGAGTGTGGGACAGCAGTTGGTGAGCCTCTCATTGAGTGTGTACGAGCTGACTCTGTGTGTGCGTGTGTGTGTGTGTGTGTTGCCAGGAAAGAGAGCCTACCAGCATACGGATCGCATTCACTGAAAGATAGGAAGGAAGAAAGTAAGAAGAGCAAAGCCTGGAAATCTTCAAAATGAGAGGGCCTCTTTTGATGTGTGTTTGCATTCCTTTCAGTGTTGGTGAAAGGGGAGCTGTTGAACGGTAGTGGAGAAGAGGAACACTTGAAACTGAACGAGGCGCTAAGAAAAACACACACCAGGTCTCATAACAAAAATCCTGCAAGACTAAGACAAAGAGGGTAGAAGGTAAATTAGCAGAGACAGGAGGACAAGTTCACAGAGAAGAAAAGTGAAGCAAGATAACTACTGACCTAAAAGTGTACATTCATTACTTGGGTTTTTTTTTTTTTTCTGACTTCTTTCAAGATACCTGCATCATTTCTCTGAAGATTTCTAAAAACAAGTGATTTTTACTCTGGAAAGATGTGAAGTTATCTGACCCTCTTCTGATTTTAAGACTGACCTTTGTAGCGGAAAACACAACAGTGCCTCTCCCCATTACCTCAGACTTTTTCCCGTGCCTCGTGTGGTTAAGTGGTATGTCTGGACAGTCCATCATCGCAAGAGCTGGCGAAGGAAAATCAAGATGTACAATTTCTTCTATAAACTGTACTCTTCTCTGTTAATGCTTGCCATCCTACACATTAACCCTGCTCAGGTCATTTTCTTCTACCTTTTGCAACTTTGAATCATTAAATATAGCAATTTGATATTTGGCCAGAACATAATCAAAGTCTTCCTGGTGTGGGCGAACTCTAACTGAAAATAGCCCTAAAGAATTTGTTGACTGTATTAAAATCAAGACATGTTTCTTGGCATCTGTGTTCACTTCTACTACAGTTAAGCCAGCAGTCATGCAGATTGCAGATTCTTCACCCAGAATGTTTGTAAGATAGTTCACCAAAGGCAAAGGCATTTCTCAGTGGAAAAAACATCCAGTTTTGTGGTTGTGTGGCAGGAAGGAACAAGAACAAAGCACCCTCAATGTAAAACTTTAAGGGTGAAGGTTTCGGATATGGTTAGTCCAGCCTTACCCGCGCAAAAAAAAGCAGCTCTGCATTCAAATGAACTAAATAAATCATTTAAAGCAGTAATCTGCACAATTCTCTTTTATGGATTTTGCTGCTAGACAGTCATTGCTGTGGTGTGTTTGCTCTGCTCTTCCCAGAAATCACTTGATAATCTGAAGCCAATGATAAGGCACCCATTCGTTTCAAAACTTGAGTTTTTCTTCACATGACAGGTCTTTTACATACCAGGTGTAAAAGTTTTGATGTTGTAGCTCATGACATGGTACAGAAAGTGATATATCAGTAACATAAAATACTTGACGACATATTAAATTTGTTTGTAAAATGAGAAAACATTGGTTGGTCAAGAGTTAGGTGTCTGTTTTAAGTAGAGGTAATCCTGCTCTGCTCTCTGAAGTCTCCCAGCCTGTGGTCACATGGCACCAGAGGGTGGGGTAAGGAGACCCTTATCCTGTTCGTGTCGCAACGGGCTGCCCAGCCAACCAGAAGATGAGAAAAGAAGTGCACCCTTGTTGTTTGTTCGCCTTTGGCCCCTGCCATCTGTCCGCTTGGTTCCTGACACCTGTACTAGCCCGTCAGAGCTGGGCTTCCCTGTCATCGGGGGCAACGCGGGTCTAGCCTGTAGGGAAACATTGGGTAAGGAGGAGGGGAGTAATGTAACAGCTCCACTGAATTAGGGAAGGCAGTGGATGGGAGGGGTTGAGGGTGAAGTTGGGGACACTTTTAAGAAAGATATACTGAAATTTGAGTTACACTGTTTGTAGTCCACTTGACTACACCTGCTATTCTTTTTCATTCTTATTCTTAGGTAAATGACCTTTACAGGTGCTTGAACCCAAAGCTCTCTTCATCAGAATATTGGCTCAAGGTTCAGAGGCTATTGGAAAACAAATAGTTGGCATGCTGTTAAAGCATGGAAACAGCTATTAATGCAATGCCAGATGTTCATCAGATGGGGATGTTAAGGGGAGGATTTTTAAGGGGCAGGCTGCTTGAAAGGCAAACACTGTTGCTGCGAGCACTGCTGTGTTCATGGGCACATCTTATCTGAGCCAAGAGGGTTCGCCACCAAAAAGAGCCGGCTTTCTGGCCAAGTCTGAATACGATAAAGGCTCATGAAAGAGCAAATTAAATTCTATCACTAAGGTGATGTCAGAGTGACGGAGTTCTTCAAGACAAGACAGCTCACTGGCTAGCTCGGGTGCGTTTTGGCAGCAGAGAAAAAAGAAACAGATGCAGCCTAAACCTGTTAGTCGCCCACCTCTAATCGGCTTACATTGGCTTGGTGACAGGCGACTGGCACCTCCAAAGGGTCACAGACATGGTTGCTAGTACACACACCTCGCAATAAAGGATGACATGTTGGAAATCCACATGAAACCAGAAACAGCACTTCACACATTCAGCTAGCAGTAACCACTAAACAATTATGTTTTCCTTTACTGACAATATCGTTCTCAGCATTCCTAATTGTGTATTTCGTTTCACAATATTCACATTTACAGTATTTTTAATATGTTTTTATTTGATCCCTTCGCATTTCCTGGTCTTTGTTGCAGCCAAAAATCACATGTGTTTTCATGACTCAAGTCAAAAATTAATTTCCTGATTGCTGTTTCAGGGTGTTATTTGTGTCCTGTGGGTACAAGTCAAGTCATAAACACATTCAGTTCCTAAGACAAGAGGAAAATAATTTCTTAGCCATGTTTGTGTAATGTGTTAGTCGACTGACTTGCCGTAGCTGCAAACAGGTGTGAGGAACCTACAGGAACCAAAGTTCTTCATTTGGACGCCCCAAAGCGTTCATTGTTTTTGTTAAAAAAATGTGAATTTTTCAAACCTGCAGACCCTACATGAAAAGATTTACTTTTTCTCGCGTCTGTGAAATATGAATCCACCCCCCCGATTACATCCAGTTGTTCAGTCTTGCAGTAATGTCATTTCAGCATTCTGTCAAAGCACACACGACGTTTTCTCACCCGTGTCTGAAAGCAGGTGGAAAAGCAATGACCACAAGCTAACCAGAGAGTGTGGAATGACTTATTTGCTCTCAGCAGAGGACGATCTTGTAGGTCCCACCAAGTCAAACAAGTGGCATGTTGCCAAGTCATCAGGCCTTTCACACAGACATGAGGAGGTATTGACACAGTGTGTGTGGCTAAAACCTCAGCGCTAAGGGCCACTCACATTTACAATTGGAACAGAGGGGGCACTATGAACTCATTACATCAAACTGAGAAAACTGTGTGTTCGGGCCTGACCAGACATTAGTTACACTGACAGAATAAAAACATACACACCTATGGAGAAAATGCAATGCAAACTCAATTTTTGTAAGTACATTTGCTTCCTATTATCTGTCTGTTATCTAACAAAAAATAATAGTGCTTAAAAATAGATTTACATATTCAGATTTAATGAGAAAATAAATGAGAAATGTATGAAGATAGAAATTATTATTATTTATATTAATAGTAATAGGAATAAGAATAATTCAGTCTTTTACCACAATGTTAGGGTGAGAGCTGAGTTTAATCGTTAAAATATGCAGTGTTCTGTCTACAAAGCTCTGCCATATTTTTTTTTTCCATATCTGTTTTTTTTTTTTTATTATTTATTAATTTTTTTCCCAGAGAGAGAGCTTTATTTCCCAACGCTAGCCGCTGTTTTCCTTCTGTAAGTGAAACATGTTCCTAGGGTTCGTGACTCCAATTCTAAGATAAGAGAGTGCGTACTACAGCACTTGTAAGTGGATAGTTAAACCTTCATGATAGCAACAAGGAGTTAAAAAAAAAAAAACTCTATGGAGCTTTATTGACATGTCAGTGTGCTTCTTTGTGCCACTGTAACATAGTTTATTCCATACCCATAATAACCACTGAGGCTGATGTTGTTTTTAAGTCACAAGTCTCAACACTGTTTGGGTCCTGTCTGTGCTGTTATTGATGCCATTTTTGGCCAGCCAACTAGCTTTTGTGAATTAACAACAGTATTAGGTTGCTATTATAAAACGTCACCATTAGAAATTATGTAAACTGCACAACACATTGTTGACTAAGGTTATGTCCAAGGCTGGTTTTTCAAGAGTCTGTGTTATTACTAATGTTATTATGATTTTAAATGAGTACTTCTTTTTTTAAACTGATGGCACAGAACATCTTTGGCTCTCTTTAGGTGCTCCTTCTTGTGGATTCATTTTAAATATCACAGTTTTTGCTCTCAATTGCTTTCTCTGCTTGCTTCCAACAAACAGCTATTATGGAGTAAAAGTAAAATGTATTATTATTCCCTACATCACATGTGGTTTTCCTGCACCAGATATTTGACCTCATATTAAGGTCTTTCTTGCCTCCTCAGGTTGTGACAGAAATTGAAGAGCAGCATGGAAACTTCAGCTCCAACAGCCACTGACAAGAAGGAGTGTAAGGGTGCTGGTCTGGATGGAAGCAGCTTCTCAGAACTCCCAAAGAAGCCTTCACCCACCACACTGACCAGAGGTACAGCTCTTTTCCTTATGTTTTTTTCAAAATGATTTGGTGAGAAACTGGAAGCCCATTAGCTCTGTTCTTTTCAAACATTAGTGTAATATAGAACACTTGTATATGGAAGTTCTTCTGTAGGATTATGCACCCTGCAGTGCAATGAACTGAAAAGTTATGGCTACTCACATAAGTAGCTGGGTGGCACATAAAAAAAATTAGACCCAGAGATGAGGGCTGCATGTTTCAGAGATGTCAGAGAATTGGTGATGAAAAAATGTTATAATGAGGTCGAAAGACCTTGTTCTCACCTCCCGAGTGTAAATTTCATGAATTACTAAAAACGGCTGGCATTACAGTGGACGACATGGTGAATCAGAGGCCTCAGATAAAGGCTGGGAGGAGGGAAGCACCTTTGAAATGCTAACAAGATGTCGTATGACATTGTGGCGTTAGCGCTATTTCTGCTTAATGATGGGGTTGGTGGCCTGCCACGAGAGGAGCCATGAGCATTAATTGTTTAGGGATGCGTGGTGAGAAACTAGGGCGATTCAGTGTGTCCTCCCTGGCACCTCCACAAAGAGGGCCACAAGTTTTTCAAACCAGTAAAAGAAAATATTGCATTTGCATGAATTATTCAGTCATTTACACAGTTATGACCATTGTGTATCATGTAGGCTGTAAGGTTTGAATTCTCATAACCTTGCCACACTGACAGTAGTCTGCACTCTTAAGGGGTTATTTGTGCTCGTGAGGTAACACTGAGGGTGCAGGGTGTGCAAGATTCCCTCTATAAAGGAGTCATAATTAAAAGATGAGAGCTCATGTTTTCATTAGTGAATGTGTGATGAAAACTCCTCACAACGAGGTTGGAGGACCATGTTGGGGTTTCTGAGGTACCAGTGTTATAAATTCTTAACGCCTGCTGGTGGAGTCGGCTGGTGGACACTGAAACCCCTCAGGAAGACATACTGGCATCAAGTGAGGGGCCAATGCAGGAACGTATCATTCAAGTTGTTTTACAGTTTAATGAAGGGCCTGGTGGCCTGCCATCACAAAGCTCACTTTTTCTCACAAGGGAACAGTAAAAGTAGGACATTAGTATGTCGTTAGATAATTTTACTGTTTTAATTCTTTTTATCTCTTAAATTAGCATGCATGTGTGAACCAAAATGTGGGACAAATGTGAATAAATCAAGTAGCTTTGTGAGATGTCACAAACTTGTTTACTGAAAGGTCCTCATTTATTCTGCTTACTTGTGTTTGAAATAGAATTGTAAAGTACTCCCGGCCGTCCAGACTACATTATGATGTTTAAGCTTGGAAAGATAACCGCACAATACAATAGTGTAACTTGAGGAGAAACATCCTGAGAACATCTTGTTCACCATGATCCATTGTGTCAGCTGGTCACGAATCTCATAACTCATTTCATGAGAGCTCACTTTGCTTGTGTTTCATGGAGACATGCCTTGCCCTGTTGAACTTGTCTGTGTCTGTGAATGGAAACATGATGGAAGTGTGTCTGATTTCTAATGAAGAGTGTGTGTCAGAGTCCAAGAGGAAGAAGAGAATAGAGTATACAAGCAGGGATGCTGGCACAAAAGCCCAAGTCGGGTTCAGTCCATATGATAGGAATCAGGCTTGTTTCTCGAGGCCTTGTAAATGGTTTTAAATGGGCACCCACATTTAGTGTGACAGCCTGCATCTGTCTTGCTACAAGGCGTGCTTCCACAAGCTTGGCCCTTGCAACCTGACTCCCAGCCCCCGGGATTTACGAGTCTGTGTTGGCTTGTGCTTTACCATGTCAGAGTAACATGTGTTCAGATTAGGTGCCCGCTTCCAGGACTGTAAAACATCTCATGATTTCAAAGGAATACCTGTGATTGATGCAACCCCCTCATCCCTACTTCACACCAACGGCTTGTGTACAGGCGCTCAGATGTGCGGTGTTTTCCTGCTTTCCTCTGCCTCAGCTGAAGAAGAGCGACTGTTATATACACAGATCTGACACACTTGTTTTACAGCCCTTATTATATTTTGCGAAAGTTTGCCAAAGAGAATTTTTCCATCATCGCTCACTTTGGTGTTGACTGTACGAGGCCAGTGGAGCAGACAAGCTCGGTAACAGTGATTATTTTTATTTCTACCTAACCAGTGTGTTATATTCATCCTTCTAAGAATTTGGCCATGGTTTGCGAAGTCTGGGCAAAGATCGATGTTCTTAAGCATAAAAAACACATTGTCCACAGATAGTTATTCACAGCCTCGATGTATCTAAGGAGGGTGAAAAATGTCCTCACCTTTGTCAACACTTACTGTCTCTAAATAAGAATACAACATTAAATCACCCCTCCTCCAGTCTTTCCTCATGAAAATGGATCACGTCTTACTAGTCAGACTCGAAATGGTCATTGTAGCATAGATGGATGAAGAAGAGAAGTGTAGTATAATTAGTCTTTCTGGGAGAAGAGCACAGATTGGCGATAAGGAGCTGGATGTTAATCATGGTCATCGTGGATAAGTCTGAGTTGGAGCTGAAGGGTCTCCACCAGGTCTCTGCACTGGCCACAGGGCCTTTCTCGGGAAGGTGCTCTGGAGTGGGTCATGGGCCCCACTGGCAAAGAAAAATGTCCCAGAGAAAAATAGACATCCCCCTCCCCCTATCCGCCCCCATCCACAGGCCTACTCCAAAGGGACAGCCACTAATCTTCCTGAGAAAGAGATTTCTGCCTTTCTTTCTATGCTCCTAAATGAGGCTCTTACGCTGTTGTGGTTCCACCGACCGGCTAAGAGGTGGAGGAGGGGATGGGGGAGCTCAGTGGCTGAGGTTATGCAGGCATGACTGCATTCATGCCAGACCCCTGTGCCCCCTTTGGGTTTAACTCTTTGGCCCTCCACCTTAGTTAAAAGACTCAGAGAATTCGTCTCCTGATGGCTAAAGTATTGTACTCAGAAAAAGAAAAGTGCCCTTCTTTACAATGCTCCTGCTTCTATGCAGCATCTGGATAAGTGAATTATTATTTGACCAAGGAAAGTTTAGTGTGCTGGACAAAGCAACTTTATGTTATTCTCCCAATTTAAAGAAGCGTTGTAGATCAAGTTACATGACTGTACGTACAAGAAACAACTTCCCTGTCTCCTAAAACCAACAAACATGTCAGTGATTTCATTTTTAACTGCACAAAGTATATATTCCTATCCCTGGTGCTGAGAGAGAATTAGCTCTATCAAGTGTCATCTACAGTAACATTTTGGAGGAGGATATCAATAATGCTTTTTCTGATACTTGAGAAGACCTACAAGCAACAAGCTTACAGGAAGGCCTATTGACCAAGTCCCAGTGTTGTTTATTTTCCTGTCAGGGTCTATAGCAGCGTACTATCAGGAACTCACTGCTGTCCTTAAAGAATGACTTCAAGACAGACCGATATTGTTTCTGTCCCGGAATGACTTTCAATTTATGGTTTTCTATTTGCCAACATATAGCTTCGTCATCTGCAGAGTCAGTTTACACCTGATTACATTTTCTGTCTGATATCTCCCGTATGTCCCTCAAGCTAGTACTGGACAATTCAAATCCAAATTCACATTCATTGATATACATATTCACATCTTCCCACCAGCCAGCATAGTTTAATGCAGTCTGCCTTATAGAGATTGGTGTCTAAATTATTTAATGTGTGTCTTTGTTAACAGTCTACCTTCTTTCCAAGTCACCCCTGTGCCCTGCTTCCATGCTTCATCCTCACATCTCTCTCTTTGTCAGTGTTTGTCTCTGTCTTATCCAGTGTTTCACTTTGAGGCACTGGCTGGCCAAGAATTTAAAGATTAGATATGCTAAGTGAAAGCAGAAGGGGGACATCTTGTTTTTCCTTGTTTTTTTCATATGCTGATTGCACAGGTTTTTGATCCTTGAGCACTTGCTGAAGTTGCCGCCTTTATCATCACTCGTTACAAGCAGTTCTCATCACAGCACGGCCTACATACTAAGAGAAGGAAATAGGAAGCGATGTGCCTCTCCTCCAGAGGCTGGTATCAGCTGGTCACAGGGGTTTGCAGCTTAACAGGCCATATATAGATGTATAATCATTATTTTCTACATTTTATGTAAAAGTGAATTATGAATAAGTTCCCTAGATTCTTTTTTGTGTGTACTTAAAGTACATAAGATAGCAAATAAAGCCCCTGCTGAATCCAACCACAGAGTTCAGAAGAATTTTTTAAAAAGTTGAAAGTAATATACAGACTTGTCTTTCTTCTTTTGAAAAATATTTTAATGATTGCTTAGAAGATCATCATAAAGCTAAATATTAAGCAGCCCAGTCTTCAAACTATGTATATTTTCTGAGCCAGTTTCTATTGTATGTTGATTCAATGAGAGCTGACAGCCAATGGCAGGTCTCTAATGTGGTTAGGAAACATAAATCAGGCTCAAATGAGAGGACAATTCTGATATTGGTTGTTTCTTTGGAATGCTCCGCCTCTGCTTCAAAGCCTCCAAAATTAAAAAAGCAACGTGGTATGCTTTGGGCAATGTCTGAGAATATAAATCTCTCTGTACCAGAGGCGTCTACATGCACAGGGCCCAAAGACAACATGTTACATTCCTCGCCATTTACAAGCAGTGGAAGAGGAGGTGGAGGCAATATATGGATGCTTTAGGGGATTAGCCAACACCCTGTCAACCAGCTTTCTCTCCCTATCCCTCAAATCTCTCAGTTCTCCATTACTTGTACTTCCCTTTTTCTTTTTGTGTTTCATCCTCTCTTAAACAGAAAGCTCCTTCCCAGCATGCGGAGTGTAATCCATGCCCCTGCCTCAAAGACACTTCCTGTCTGTTTTGTTTGTTGGACTGATGGGAATCAGCCCAATAAGGTGCCTAGCTCTCTCCTCTTCTCTAAGGTGTCGCCTCAGGCAACCACTTTCTTTTGACAGGAAGATGTTGAATGTTATCAAAGAACTTGTTGAAAGTCCATGCCTGTGTATTTGTATGCAGTGAATTCTCAGTCTCTCTG